GCATTTTAAAATGACCTTAGTTTTTTACTTAACATTAACAACTGTCATCTGAGAACTCACAAATATACAATCCCGGAAAAATCTAGACCCACCTCCAAGTGTCTATCCTTTGGCAGATTAACACCTACTCTACCACTTATTAGCCATGTGACCTTTGGTGAGTGATCCCGCTTCTGTTTTTTTATATAAATAATGGAGAAAAAAATGTTTGGTTCATGGAGTTAAATTCTTGAGGGATTAATATACGTAATTGACATGGGTAAAGTATTTGGAAGAATAGCTACATCTAAATGCTAACACTTGCTAGCTAATAATACCATAAAAATTTGTCTCAAGCCTAAAACACACTTTTCTTATGACAAGAATACCTTCTGTGTATTGGGAATGGTAAATTATATTCTTAAAGATTAAGAAGACTACTGATTCACATACCGAAAGGTAATTTAAAGCCCTTTTTTCTTGCCTAAGACTGTTTCTCCAGTCTCCTTCTTAAAATAACAGTCTGCTTCTCAGATCTTTCCTTCTATCATTCTTAGCATACTACAATTTGTCAGAGGAAAGTACATAACTGAGCCTGTTAAATTTCACTTTTTAATCAGTGAACTCTGGTTTCCATGTTGCTAGATTCCTGATATGGCTTAGCTCAAGAGGTTTTTTCTTACTTTCCATGAGTAGCTGTGCTTCCAAAGGGTAAGGTTTCCAGAAGTCTGCAAGTTGGACAGTTGAACAGTGTTAGGTTGTTAGCGTGTTTACATGATAGTAGCAGGGACAAAGAGTGTAGACTTTAATCCTAGCATTGCTCCTGAGGTCAAGTGGAGGAAAACTCATCACCTGCTTTAACAGTCAGAGAAGATAAGTGATGCTCAGAAAAGACTGACTTGTCTCCCACCATACCACCCTGAATGCTCCTGATCTCATCTGGTCTCAGAAGCTAAGCAGGGTCAGGGCTGGTTAGTACTTGGATGGGAGAAAAGACTGACTTGAAGCTGGACATCGTGGTACAAGACTACAGTCTTGTTTCCTCATGAGGCTGAGGCAGGAGGATCCCTTGAGCTCAGGAGGGTGAAGCTAGCCTAGGCAAATACAGCCAGACCCTTTCTCAAAAAGAAAAAGAAAAAGCCAGGCATAGTGGTACAAGCCTGTAATCTTGAGCACTTGGGATGCAGATTTGAGGCCAGCCTGGGCTACATAGCAAGATGCTGTCTCAAAAAAGCAAAAAGGAAGGAAAAAAAAAAAGATTGTAACCCAGCAAAGATGCTTAGGTTAATATCCAAGTCTACCAATCTCCAAGAATTGCTCACCTTCACACACCAAAATTCTTAAAAAGGATTCTAAAACTTCTAGATAGTGAGAAAACTAAGTACACTTCCCCAAAACAGACTAAACAGATCCAAAACAATTATCTAAACCCAAATGAACTGAACCAGAGTCAATAAATCTCTAAAAGTAGTAACTTCAAATCAATCATTTTTTATAAAGTACACTAAGAGGTCCAATTGTCCAAGTCAAACACTGCTTTCACATTTAAACTAATCTAACAATAATTAATTGCAAAGAATCTTCTAAAAGTGACATCACAGTAATCTAAGTTTTATTTATAGATTCATATAAATGAGACAGTTCAAATTCCCCATAAATAGTCAAATGATGCTTAACTGCATATTTCAATAAACCACTTAAAAATTTTTTGAACTCAGGGCCTCACCAAGATCTCTACCACTCAAGTCATGCCCCCAAGCCCTTTTTACTTCAGTTATCTTTCTTTTTCTTTTTTGGCAATGCTAGGGGTTGAATTTAGGGCTTTGTGCTTGCTAGATAGGTGCTCTACAGCTTGAGCTAGCAAGCATATCTCCAGCCCTTTTTGCTCTCCCTTTTTGTGGAGACAGGTCTTGCTTTTTGCCTGAGCAGGCCTGGACAGAGATGCACCTACCTATGTCTCCCATGTAGCTGAGAAGATAGGTGGGCTATCACATGGGAGACATAGGTAAGTGCATCACCAGACAAAAAAATTTTTAACATATATTTTAAATACTGCTTTCAATTATTACATTTGCACATTTTAGGCAATGAAATGATTGTTTTTATTTTATGGCTGATTATTACCAACATTTGTATACACACACAAATTAGAGATATTCTACAAAAATGACAGAGTTCTCTCTCTCCTGAGCATTTTAATTCATTCCTTCTTTCTTCTGCTAATCACTTCAGGCCCTCAACATTGGATTAATCTTATAATGGCCTCCTTATGAGTTTCTCTCTTTTCAGTTTAACCACATGCCAATGCACTCTCCATAGTGCTGCCTAACACCTCAGGAACAAAATCCAACCCCTCTGTATGATACATATTCCTTCAGAAATCTGGTGTTACCTATCTTTATAATATTGCCACCCATACCACATCATCCCATGCTCCACTACAGGAGTTTTTGTACATTCCAAACTATGTACAGTAGTTCTCAGAAAAATCTAAGGATGCCCTTCTCCTCTAAAGATCAGTTCCCTCACACTAAAAGCATCAATTCACTATCATGTCTCACTTCTACCACTGGTTCCTCTGCAAGTCTGTTCAGACTGTCCTTTCTCTCCTTGTGTATACTTGCCACAGTAACCTATGTCATGGTCATACTCTCCTTTTGTTTTTTGTATATCCATATTTCCCTTTAAGGTTATCAATTACAGTGCCTGAAATAAAGTAGATGCTAATGGTCTGTTTTATAAAATATGCATCTTCAACTGGACAACACGTAGATTTTTAATAAATTACTAGAATGTAGCTGTTAAAAGGAGACTTTTCTATGGGGCTGGAGATGAAGCTTAGTCACAGAGTGGGCAAAAAAAAAAGGACACTAACCTATCCTTGCCACCCCAGTGCTTATCACGGTACATCACCAAATAAATGACTGACTGCCAAATAAATAAAACAAAAATTTCCAATAGCCATGAGAGTTATTTTTACAAAATCTGACACTCCAGTTTTTAAACTTGTTTTTCTTGGTACTTTGTTTGACATTGTTTTTTAGTTAGCTGGCTGACTAAAGCTTTTTAAACACAGAAAAACTGTATATGGCTTCTCTTAATGTCAAAGCAAAAACTGACTACCAGAAGCAAATGCCTTAAATAACAGTTTACAATAAGAATTATACAGTGTAGATGCAATATACTTAGGTGAACTTTAGGTCAGAGTGTTAATCGAAAAGTTAAGGGAGCTGAACAAATTAAGATTCTTGAATAAATAACTCCACTTTTAGGTTATCCTAAGGCTTCACTATAACTCATTTGGAAATTGTAATGAAAATCACACAACTCAATAGCAATTAAGACTTCAGTAGTGTAAAAAAATAAAATCAGACTCTTAATTTCAAATTTTAAAGTGAGGTTGTTCTTGAAGAATCAACAGGTTTGTTAACAGCATCTCCAACCAATACTAAGTTCACACTATGTGCAAAGTTTAGTGAACTATTTATGTAGTAAGTACCTCATTGGGGGAAGACTGTCTGCTAAAGAAAAGGACACGAATGGAAAGGCAACAGAAACAGGAGAAACTTGGACCACACCTTAGTTTTTGAACTCTAGGTTTCAAAGTATGTAGACAGCAAGGCATTAAAGACTGAATTTGAGAAGGGTGCCTGAGGTAAAACTAAGAAATTACACACTTTCAATAGAAACAAAGAGTCTGTTGCTCTAATGGAACACAGGAAACAATGTATGGCTTCGAAGACGATGAAGCATCTTCATTTCCTTTTTAAAAATTTCAAATACATGAAAATATTTTTTAAATATTGAGATATGTTCAAATTTATGCTATTTACCATCTAAAAAGGAAACCTAGACTTGTCAGTGAAGAGTCAATATTAATGGCTTGCTTATCAAACCACAATGATTCAATTTCCCCTCCACAGATTCCTTTAAATTCATTTAAGTAATAATACCAAAATTTTGCGAAGGAAGAGAGACTTAAAACTCTTTTAAAAATCAGGAAAAGGGTGAGATGACGTTTTATTGACTTTACACTGCCAAAGAAGGTGGGAATTAGTGGAAGATCACTGTGTATGCAAAGTCTGACTGCACTCGTGCTACAAAATAAAACCCTAGCTTCAGTTTAGCAAGACCCTTGAAATGAGCTGCTAGAGAAAAGTTAAGCGTGCCAGACCTCAGCAGATCCCGAAGCCGATCAAGTTCAAATCCTCACCAGAAATACCTACCGTGCTCAAGTCCTTGATCTAAATGACTGTCTTTCTAAGAACTCTTCAAATTTGGTTCCTGGCCTTAACAAAAAACTCTACTCACAGCTGCAGTGCGCCTCCTCCCTCTGTCCACTCTGCACCTTTGGCTCAAACCCTTCTGTTGGGGCAAGAGATGAAACAGTACGACTTAAATACCCAGGCCCCCACAGAAGCCCCCTCCAAATCCTTAACGCTTGCTAAGGATGATTCCAAGCTAAACCTACCGTCCGTCTCTCAGCCAGATCCCTCCCTCTTTTTTTGGCTCCAAAAAGGAAAATGTACCTGTAGAGCATTGGCTTGCCAAGCAAACAAGGCACGGTTCCAAACCCGTGTCCCCGATCGTCTTTTGTCCCCTCCCAGCCCTCCCTCCCGTTCTACATTGAACTTTAACAGAGCATTTGGTTCCCTTATCTGCCAGCAACCGGCGCCAGGAGGACCGCGCTCCCTCCCGGGAGATGCGGGGTTTGGAGGCCCGGCGCAGCACTCAGCCCCGGGAGCGCGGCCAGGTGTCCCGGGCTCGCGCCGCGCCGCGTCGCCTCCGAGGCCCAGGTCCCAGCCGGCGCTTGGCGCAGGGGATTCCCGCGGCGAGCGATCGCGCCACCCATGCTACCTCCTCCCGCCGCGGTCCCCGAACCCCTGCACGCGGGTCCCGCCTGGACGACCCCGGACACCACGGGCAGTCCGGGGAGGGGGATCCTTCACCCTCGGGCAACGCGACCCACGCCTGCCACAAGGTCCTTCCCTTTCCCGCCCGGGCCTGCGTGGGTCCAGTACCATTCTCCTCACGGGGCAGACTCCGGAAGGGCAGCAACTCCACCTCCTCCTCCTCCGCGGCCTGTAGCCATCTATCGGGAAGCGTCTCTGGAGGCGGCAGCAGAGGCCGCCGGACAAGGACAGCCCAGGGAAACCTTCTCAGAACTAACTCAGCTCCGGCGCTAGCAGCAGAAGTCGAGTCTTTCATAATTGTGCGACCAACTCCGCCGGGTGACTGGCCACAGGGACGCGCCCGCGCCCGCCTCCGCCGGCGACGGGGCTGAAGACAGACCACGTGAGGGGCGCGTCGTGTGCGTGCGTCTCCTCCCGCGGTCCGGGTCACGTGAAGGGCGCGCGCTCCCTCGCTCCCTCCCTCCTCCCTGCGCGGCGCGCGCACGCGCCGGGCACGAGTACGAGCACGGGCACGCGCTGCGCTGCTCTGCCTGCCCTGGTTTCCCAGAACCGCCCGCCCGCACGCCAGCCCGCCCGCCGGTCTGGGTGTGCTGCCCAGCTCTCAGGTACCTAGCGGGTGCTGCAGGCACTTCTGCCCCCAGCTCTCCGAGTGGAAGTGGCTGAGGTTTAAGGTTCCCGGCCTCCGGCATCCGGCCTGGATTTGCGGCGTGATGTCATTGTCACCTCCCCTACCCGAGCCTGGCCTCTGCCTGCTCGCGGGGGCTAACTAGAGCTTCGGAGAGGCTAGAGGTTTTAAATCTTACTGTCTCCTCCTCCCAAATGCAAAATGAGCTTCCCTAAGTCATGCTCTTCTATTTTCCAGTGGAAATTCTTTGGGATTTGGGTGCAGGGCCATCGTGTCCTCCCAGAAATGTCATCCACAGACACGCATACATCATACACCTGCACCAAAGGTGGGATTGTTCCCTGAGCCTAACACATGTCCGTCTTTTATTTCCTTTGCTATCACCAGTCTGCGTTGGTTATTAGTTTGCTAAATGTTACTCTTCCCTGTCTTCTTAGAAGACCACAATCAGTTTAGTTTTCTTAAAACGGTTTTCATACATTGCCTTCCTGCTCCCAAGACTTGAGGAGCCCTTCAGTCCGATCCTCTGTGATCTGGTTCTGTCTTATCTCTTTAAACAGAGGTATTGAAGGAGAGCTGTGGAGTGGTTCAAGTGGTAGAGGGCCTGCCTAGCAAGACTAGTAAGGGTGAGGCCCTGAGTTCAAGCCCTAGTACCCCTGGGGGAAAAAGTATCCTCTGGATGTATTGAAGAATGGTTGGCATGACAACCTGCACATATCTTAGTGTTCAGTTTGATAATTTTTGACATATGTATTCACTCATATAATCACCATAATCAAGATAACATATTCACACTCCCAAAGTCCCAGGCACCCTTTATAATCTCTCCATCCCTTAGCACACACATCCATCACATCCCTTAGCAACTGCACTGTTGTCCCTTGGTATCCATAAGGCATTGGGCCCAGTATTCCCCACACCCTTACCAAAATCAAAGATTTCAAAAAAAAAATGGCATAGTATTTGCATATAACATATACGTATTCTCCTGTATGCTTTATCTTTAAATTATGTCTAATACCTAACAGTGCAAATGTTAAGTAAATCATTGTTAAGCTGTATTTTTAGAGAATAATGATTTTTAAAAAGGTCTGTATGTTCAGTACAGATGCAATTTTATTCCCAGGTCTTTTCTAATTTTGGTTGGTTGAATCCACAGGTGTGGAACCCATGGCTAGAGAAGGCACTGAACTGCTTTCTGTGACTGTGAATAGTTTGTACATGCTAAAGTTTGTATACTGGAATCATACAATGTGCACTTTTTTGTTGTTGTTTTAGTCTGGCTTTTTGCATAATTATAACCTCTCAAACATCATGACCTACAATTCATGGGGGGCAGGAGCTTTTTTCAACCAACCAACCATGGTTTCCCTAACAAGCTTTGACTGAGCTTGTAAACAATCTTCAGGCAATCTTTCAGGTAGTGTGTATTCCTTCCCCATCCTGCTGGCCCAGCAAGACCAGGGTTTAAAATGTCTGCTGCTGCCCACGGGCTGTGTTCTTACACTGACTGCTTAGAAAGAGGAGGCAAAGTAAACCTACCCCATATGCACCTCAGCCAGGCCCTGTGCCTGGTCTGTACTGTGAATGAGAAGACACAGGGGAAAAAAAATCCTTTAATATATGTGTCATATTAGATTGCCTGCCCTGTGGGGCAGGGATCTTGACTAATGTACATACATATTCAGTAAATGTTTATCTTCTAGATTTCAGTTAGGCCTACACATTTCCCACCTTTAGGGACTTTATAATCTAGAAGGCAGAGACAAACCAGAAAAGCAAAATACAGTGAGGTGAGTGTTTTGTTTCCCTGGAAATTTGTAACTGGCCTTTAGTACCCAGAACAAATGCTTCCCTCAGTTCGTGGATGATGTAGAAATGAAACAAGATGAGCACCTTGACTTAATCTCCAGAATTTTTTAGTTTAAAGTTGGAAATGGGGAACAGGATTTATCCTTAATTGAACTAATCACAGTAAACTCCTTAACTTTCAAATGACCAGACAACCTTTGAAATTTATATATGCTGATCAGCAATCATTTTGAAGAATGAATTTATTCAATCAAAAATATGTATTGACTGCCTAAGATTATGTTAGGAACAGTTGTAGTCAGTGTTGTTAGGTGATAAATAAGATTTGTAAATTCAGTGTTTCAGAAAATGTTTATTTATTTTTGGTCTTACTCGGGTTTGAACTTGGGGCCTTACACTTGCTAGGCAAACATTCTACCACTTCAGCCATGCTTCCAGTCCTTTTTGCTTTAGTTATTTTTCAGATAGGGTCTCAGAGTTGGAATGGTATTGTTTTTTAGGATTTGTTTTTTGCTTTTGCCCAGGCAGGCCTGTCCTGAGATCCTCCAACTTATGCCTCCTGTGCAGTTAGAACTACAGGCGTGAACCACTGCACCCTGCCTAGAAAATGTTTATTAATGATTTTCTATAACACTTCTTTCCCTTAGGGACTTTATTTCCATGTGGTCAGTACCATGTCTGCTTCTCACTCTCATGAGTTACATGCTCCTTTTCTTTCCTATCCTTCCCCAATTAGTTACAACAATTCAGTTCAAGAAACATTTACTACTTTCCTGTTTAAAGCACTAGTGTTTTAGGAATAAAAAGATGAAAAGTCATGGTGTCATACCAACTTCCTTAGAGTTTTACCTCTCAGCCTAGTGCATACATTCTTGACCTCAAGGGTAGTATCATCCTCAGGTAAGTAAAAATAGTTTCTTGGCAGGGAAGGTGAAAAAACATTACTCTCTTTACATACAAGCACAGATACATGTAGTACATAAGCAACAGACACCCATGCAATGGCCTTAAACCCAGGGATCTTTGTGTGGGAACTTGGTCCTCAGTAAGGCAATATTGGGAGGTAGGACTTCAAGAGAGGGGGCCCAGTGGATGGTCCTTAGGCCACTGGAGGCTCTGCCTTCAGAAGAGAAAACTGGTCCCCTGGAGTGAGTTCTCAAAAGAGTGGTCATAAAAGCCTGAGCCTGCCCCTGAGTTCCTCTCGCTGGCTTCTTATACTAGAATGTGATCTCTCAGTTCTCCAATGTACTTCTTGTCATTGCTGTCTGCCATGATTGATGCAGTTGAAAGGGTCCTCACCAGAGCTGAGTGCCATGCCCTTGGCCCTCCCAAACTGTAAACTAAGGAGTGGGAGTATAGCTCAGTGGTAGAGGGTATACTTAGCATGCACAAAATCCTGGGTTCAATCCTCAAATAAAACAAAAGACTGTGAGCTCAATAAACCTTTTTCTCTTCATAAGTAGGCTGTCTTACGTATTTCACTATAGCAGTGATCAACTGGTTAATACGCAGTGTATCTATGATATTAAAATTTCATGAGAGTCTGCAATTAGGAAAAACATGTCCAAAACGACATGTAGTGAGAAACACTGGTCTAGTGCAATAGAAACAGATTCGAGGTTAACTCACAATGAAGATAAATGTTACAGTAGTGTGTTAACCAGCCTCCATAGGCCCTAAATGTTTCTCATCTCTTGTTATTCATACCCTTGTGTAGATCCCCTCATGTTATAGTTGAATAGGACTGACCTGTGGGATACTGTAGAAATGACAATGTATGACTTCTGAGGCTTGAAAACAAAAGACATAATCGCTTCACCTTGCTCTTTTAAAAAGCCAGCTGCCCAGCAGGTCTTCAAAGAATAAGGGAACAGGGCAAGGAACTGAGACCTCCTAATAACTTACCAACCATGAGGATAAGCTATCATGAAAGTCTTTAGCCCCATGGTAACTGGAACCCCAGCTGACATCTCCCAACCTCCAAAAATCTCTGAAATAGAATCTCCGAGCTAATTCACTCCCAATACCCTAGCCCATGGAAACTGTGAAAAATATGCTTTCTGTTATTTTAAGCCAGTAGGTTTCTGGATATATTGCTTTGTAGCAATGTATAGCTGATAAAGTTGTGGTATAAATCTTTATGCAGGGGTACAAGCTGATCATAATCAGGGATATTTGGAAAGTTTTACAGGAATGGAATTTGAACTGTGTCAGGTGGTAAGAGTGGAAGGGTATACATAGAAGGAGTGCATTCCAAGAAGAGGGAATACTTTTAAAAAACAGAAAGGCATATACAAGGCATTTTAATCCTTCTACATGATAAGAGGCCTGGAAATACAAAAATTTAACTAGAAATAATTTAGTAAAAGTAAACCTTAAGTCACTTCTGTACTTAAAACTCTTCACTGGTTCTCATTGTTCTTATAAGCAAGTCCTTAGAACCTGACCCCAACTTATCTTTTCAGACTTCTCTCTAGTCACGTCTCCAGCCCTCTTTTCTATCCCTTTCAAGTGTCCATTATCAGGACTCAACTTATTCATCCCTTTTTTCAAGAATTGTTTTAGACCCTCCCTTCACACACACACACACACACACACACACACACCACACACAATTTGGGTTAGGAGCTTCTTCTGTATGTTCCAGTTCTGCTCTGTATATGGTACATTATACCACCCACCTTATTGTAATCTACCAATTTACGTGCCAGTCCTTCACTAAACATTCAACTGCTTGATAGTCAGCTAGCCCTACCTTTTCACTTTGCATATCTGTTGAACATCTACACAGCCCACACATGCTGCTCTAGGATCCTCCATTTCATGGCTTAGGCCTGGTGCTATTGTTTGGGTCTTTTTCCTGAACCTGGCTGGGCAGATCAGCCTTGATTTGTAAGTGTGCAATCCCTACTGCTCTTGGTATTATAGAGACAACTGTGAGATGTTCCCAAAGAAAGTAGAATTTAGAAAAATAGGAAATTAACTTTTCCTTATGAAATCAATTCCCTAAATATCAGTTTCCTTAATGATACCCATATCCCTTGGAAAATCTTTGTATGTCACCATGGCATACATCCCCCAGTCTGAGGATCACTGCCTTAGAACACATACTGTGCCACACTCCTTCCATCATAATGTCTCAATCTACTAGCATATGCAGAATTTTGTTATAGAGAAGAATTATGTGGTCAATACATTATTTTCAAGGGGATACTTTTTATCTGGATAAAAATCATAGGAGGAAATAATTGA